CTCTAATACTGCTAAATAGTTTAATGTCACTGCTGGGTCAGATGTCAAAATCCATGCTCTGTTTATCAATATCGGATATGATTGGACACCCTGGATCTGTTTGGCTATTGCCACCCAAGCTCAAACTGACAAGGGCACGCTTGATGTTTCAGCCGGATATTTATGCATGCTTCCATTGGCCTTTCTTGTGGTAGAGCAACACAACCTGTAACGGTGTGGCAGAAATTGCATGCTCCGGCATCGAATTAAACTGTAGATCAAGAGTGACAGGTCGAAGTGCGCTTCTGACGGGACAGGGAGCCCTGGGTGCTTTATGGGGTCAAGGTGGCTCCATTATGCATTAGCCTGTGGACAGAAAAGAGAAAAGTATAGTGCAGAGCCGCTCTCCTCTTGCCGCAGTGGCTGTTAACCTTTCCGCTGGAGCGCCTACCTTTTATACCCGAGGGGGGCTGTAAAGCCAGCAGCCTGCTGCGAAGGGCTCTGCTCATAAAAATCAATGATCCTGATTAGGAGGCGATTTGCAGAAGTCCTTCAAAACCAACAATGACAGGAAATGACAGCACGACAGAACTGAGTTTAATATTCTGTACGACTGTAAAATTTCAGAGAACGATCCAGAAAATTAACATCGACTCTCGACACTAAATTCCTCAAGAAGTGCTGTGAGGAAACACTTGAGAAGCAGTTTTCAAGAGGAATAACAATCAAGTTTGAAAGCTTTTCAAGGATGTGACATCATGTTTCCATGGCACTGACTTATATTTCCCAGTGCTAAATTATGTCTCACCTTTAAAAGCCAAGTATGGACCACACACACAAAAGGTGAAATGGCCACGTCAGTTCCACATTATCCCCTTTGTGCATTCAAATCAGCCATAAGCTAAGAAGCGAAGAGCACTCGTAAGGTAAATTACAGCGGCAATTGATGACTTATGATTATAGATCAGTGCCACTGAAACCTAGTTTACTGTGTCGAGTTTTGAATCAAATCCATTTGAGGTGAATTTTGTGATACAATCGGGACAGGAACCACTTTATAGATGTTGAGAGGGACATGTCGCCCCCTCAATATTAAAATATTTAGTAGTCAACCTATCAAAGTTATTATTGTTAAGGACGTCAGAGGCAGCCCGATCAAGAGTCATGTTTGATATTTACGATTTGAGTTCGGGACACTCCATCTCGATCGGGAGCAGTTAAATAATCTTAATGACACCACACAATAGAGAAATTTTTAGACATTTAATAAAAATTATTAAAATGTAACTAACATTAAAAAGAAAAACCTAAAAATAAAATCTAATTCAAAATATGAACAAAAATTATAATGGTACATCAATGTTACCAAAATAACACTGCAACAATATAGGTTTTTAAATAGTAATGGTTAAAAGGATAGTTATTTGCAATATAAATGAAATAATCAAAGGGGTCTGAAACAATATTGGATCACACTGACTTTCATTATAAATGCCAAAATGTGTTCCACAGAAGAAAGAAAGTCAAGTTTGGAACAAGGTGCAGGTAAGTAAATTTCATTTTTGCGTGAACTATCACTTTAAAATTACTTGGTCCACTCCAGTCCTGAAAATATGGGAAAATGCTTGAAAATTTGTTTTGCCTCTTTTTGTTTTAATGAATTTAAAAAGCTGCTGAGGCCAATGGTTAATTGTTGAGCTCAAAACAAAAGTATGTTGTAGCCCTTCGTCATGTAGGTTCAATACTTATTGTGCAGAGCTATAGAAATTCTCCTAATTCTTCTCCCAGCCACTTCATCTTCTCTCTATATACTGTATTTGTCATACTGGGAATTCTTATTATATCCTGGCAGAACAATGGCCTGGGTGCAAGTGATTCTCGGTGTGGCTCTTGTCCAAGAGACACAGCGTGGCAATTCATTACCCCTGCAGAACTCAGAGGAGCCGGAGTGATTACCCCCATCCATTTCAGACAATAATGGCTGCTGATACGCTGCTACTCTGCCGTTCAATTCAACAGGACAAAGAAGCGTGTCTTGATATCTGTGCCAGGAGCTATTTTGTAATTACCAGGGAGAGCGCTCTTGTCTGAGTCAGCCGCTTCTGTAGCGTAGCCTGGGCTTCAGCGGCTGATGTCTGCTGTGGTGTGTGTGTGTGTGTGTGTGTGTGTGGTGTGATGCTGTCTCTCACGGCAGCGCTGGTTGCTATGTGTGTGTGTATGTGGGGCCGAAGGGTCATTCCTGCTGTGCATTTTCATGTATCCATCATTTCTGACTTAACATATCGAACTGTCAATATTTAAAAATGGAAATCATATTAATTTTATATTATCACAATTCCACTCAAAAGTTTGAGGTTGGTAATGTTTTTCAAAAGAAGTCTCTTATGCTCAAGCTGAATTTTATTTGAATACAGCAATATTGTGAAATATATTGTGAAATCTTAATATATATATATATATATATATATATATATAAATAAATGTAATTTATTCCTGTCAGTGGCAAGGTTACATTTTCAGCAGGTAGTTTGAATGAACATTGCCAATTTTTCCATGTTAAACAACAACAATGGCAATTAATTAGAAAATAAATAATTTAATATATATTTATGTAATACCTATATATAGTTCCCCTTCATGGGAACTTCGAACTGCGTCCTCTAGGGGTCCCCCTAGGGGTCGCTATGGGGAACGCCTCGTCGTGACCCGTGTCTGAAGCATACATTGAAAAAACACCAACTCGTTGGCCGGCGACAGCCATGACGTCACTACCGGTGCGACTATATTATAAATAGGCGCCGGGAGCACACATCATTCTCTTCTTCGTCTTCATTGACTGTTCTGTTTGAAGCATGCATTTCCAAGGAAAAAGTAAGAGCTATCTCTATTCATTATGGCGAGCACTAGCAGAGCATTTAGAAGGTGTGTGCATCCGTGTCATCGCTATTTGACACCAGATGATACACACAATCTATGTGTTGTTTGTTTGGGCGAAGAGCACGCACGCGATGTCCTCGAGGGGGCAATCTGCGTGCATTGCGAGCGTTTTCCAATGAAAAAGCTCCGTTCTCGTTTGTCTCTCTTTTCAAGTAAAGAGGGGCAGCCATCTGCTCCCCGCGATTCAGGCCCCGCCGCTGCTGAGGCACGGACGCCTATTTATACTATAGTCGCACCGGTAGTGACGTCATGGCTGTCGCCGGCCAACGAGTTGGTGTTTTTTCAATGTATGCTTCAGACACGGGTCACGACGAGGCGTTCCCCATAGCGACCCCTAGAGGACGCAGTGTCTCGTTCCCTACTCAGGGAACCATGGTTACATAAGTAACCTGAGACGTTTTTCTTTTCTTTAACCAGATTTTTTAAATTTAGAATAATTAAACAGGTTTTTAATGTCTTCGGGAAGTGACAATTTATGTTAAGTTATGTTCATTAAACTCTATATGAAATATAGTAAAGGATAATAAACTCATGAATGCTCAAGTTATAAATATATTCAACTGGCACTTAACTGGCACTTAACCTGAAGTTGCTCCACATAACAAATAACTGGGGGGTTTTCAAGATGGCTGTCAGGTGAACGGACTTTGACATACTGTGCCTTTGCACACACAGGGCTGGTAAATAATTATTTTGACACTTAATATTTAAGTGTAATGGTACTTCAGAAACTTGATAGTCATATTTTACACTTTTTTAATAATGCTGCTCACATGCCTTCAAGGTTTCCTCTGAAATGCTATTACTTACTATTAAAACTTTTTCATTCATTTTCACAAACTGATTGAAGAGTCAAACTTACCGTCTGTATTAATCAATCCCCTTAGACATTAAAATAGAAAATACCTTAAATGTGCTCGTGTGAGTTTAGAGACACTTTCCCAGAGCAGAAATGAAAATGAAGACAGGAAGCATTGACATGTTTATACAAAAATGCCATTTTTTTAATGGTGTATTTGACGATCCATTGTTGAAATAATGAGAAAAATACCCAGAGCAGATGAACTGGATGTGATGAATAAATGCACCCGGAAGCAGAGCTCAGGGATTCGCTAGTGCTGCTCTTGCACACTCTTTCAGAAAGAGCTGAAGTCAATTTGCTAGACTCACATAAGGCCAGAAACATACTCTAGAGGAGCAGGTGAGGGCAAATGCCTCTAGCTTAATTTTAGAGACTGTTCTGAAAACGATGCCATTGATAATGCAACTCAGATGTGTGTCGCATTCTTAGCATTACCACGAGGGGCGCTATAGCAGGCTTTAGCATAAACTGACTACCGACATGACTGAGCAACAGTTTGAAGAGAATCTAAGTAAAAGTTAAACCATCTATAGCTAGTTACCTGAATAACAACACTTTAACGGCACACACATTTGAAGGTGACTGTGTCGCCCCCTTGAGTACTGGGGTTTGTTAGCGTCACTGTAGAGCATGTTTCTGGCCTAATATTTGACAGTTGGACGCAGTGGCCATTTTTAAAGCACACCAATATTCTATTCTGATTGGTTGGGTGCCATTGTTGAATTAAGACTGAGAAACACTTGGTCACTGAAATATTTTGCAATGAGACCAACAATTGCTACAACCCACTGAGGGTTTCCATAAAGAGCATATCAGCTGTAGGGAATGACAGCATCACATTGAGATATTAATAAAGGGCTGCCTTCATAAAGATCATTCGTGAATTATGCAGATCGGTCATGAGAAGACATTTGTTCCTGAATAACATAACAACACTTTAGGTTAAATATGCGGTAAGTGAAGAGTAGTCAGTCATTATAGTTACTGAGAAAACAAATTCCCATTGCAGAGCAGTAAGTAAAGTAAAAACATCCCTCATAACACCTTAAGAGTCAGAGTCAAGGTAATTCTTCCTGATACCTTATTCACATACTGTTTACTCTGAAGTTGTTGCGTAGTCGTCAACTTAAAGGGACAGTTCACCCGAAAATTACAATTCTGTCATTATTTACTCACTCTCATGTTGTTTCAAATCAGTACAACTTTCTTTTTTTAGTGGAACATAAAAGAAGACGGTTTGCAGGATGTTCACACTGCTCTTTTATATACTGTACAATGAAACTGAATGAGGACTATAGCTGTTTAGCTCAAAAGTGACCATCCTTATGACTTAGCTGAATTGGAATAAACTTGAATACTTTAAATATGGCAAATTTAAATATAGTTTTGGTGCTCCACAGCTCCAGTCCCTATTCACCTTCATTGTTTGGAAAAGAGTAGCTTGAGCATTCTGCAAAACATCTCATTTTATGGCCACATGGATTAGGAGTGAGTAAATAATGACAGAACTGTGCACTTCTCAGTGCAAACTATTCCTTTAACAACAAACAACTCAAAGATTTGCATAAGGGGAGACACGTGACATCATTCTTGTCCCCTTACTGGGAATAGCTTCAGTCCCTGAGGACCATGGCAAGAGATTGGTCATGAAATACTCACTCGCACACATTCACACAGAAAAAAATAACACCCAAACATGCTTGCATACTTAAAACAGTCATCCTCAATAGAATGCTTAGAATCTCAAAAACACACAGTCATCCTCCATCCACACGCATACTAAATATTGAGTAGTCTCTGGGAATTGGGAATGGTGATGACATTTATAAAGGCTGCGTTTGCTGCTTCTTCATTCTGCTCTTGCGATTCACGAGCTCTCTCTCTTCAACGCTCCTGTTATTGACTGACACACAGGCGTCATTACTGAGTCAATCGTCTTTAGAGTGCATGACTTCGCTTAGAAACACAGAGCCCATCCTTACTAAGTGTAAAATAAGACACAGTTTCCTCTTTGGATCTCCACCTGGTTCCCGCTTCAGCTACTAAGAAATGGCCTTGATTGAGTGCTAATGACAACTTAGAATTTGTCTCGGCCAATAACATCACGCAAGACATCTGTCGGATCGGACAAACGAAACACCTCTCACATTCGGTAAGGTTGTATTAGTACACTTAGCTCACAGAATTTTCTCGTACAGTATGCTGAAAGCTTAAATAATGGCTATGGTCCACACGTCGTCCGTCCGTCCATCGAAATTTGCAACCGAAGTGCAAATACACACAAAAAAGGACAATAGAACAGACCTTTTCAAGTCATCACTGATTATGAAAAGCTAATAAATTGCATCCAATAAGTGTTAGGCAGCTCTGTTGGTCTCAGTGCTGTGAGTTTTACCTCTTTGAGGGACGAACAATCCCTTTCAAAAATAATCAAAAGAAATAAGACCATAATAAACAAAAAAATAAAGAGACAGACCGTTATCATGGCTGAAATGGCAGCAGACATTTAAGCAAATACCCTTATACAATTTCATTCGGTTCATTCTTTTAAAATCTGCAGTGAATATAATTCCGATAATTTTTACGTCTGTTTTTTCCTTCCGTGGGCAAATGCGCCTGTAGAAGTCTTCACCTCTTATTTTAAGTTCAGGCTCAGTGCTTTAAGTTAGTCAGTAATTTCTGACCTGACGCTCAAAGTCTTCGCATTAGCGGCGAAGAGCGCGCTGCATTTAGAGTCCTTCCTCTCTAAGACGACCGAAGGATATCCTGGAGCACAACAGAAGGGGGGAGGGCTGCATTTGATGGTGGCGCTAAAGTTCTGTCTCTTTCTCGTTCGCCGTGCTCCTCTCCCGCTGGATTTGACCTGGGCATCGCAGCCTTTTTCTCCTCGTCAACCTGTATTTACCATCCCCCTCCCCCCAGCACTGCTACCAGCGGTTGATGATGTGATTCATGTAGTCCTCCGTGGGCAGTCGGGACGCCTCGGACTCCGGCGCGTCATCCCTGAAAGCAGGATCAAAGCTGGGCGCCCGACGAAAGTGGAAGAGGGCGGGCTGGTTCTTTAGGCGCTGCTCTCTTCGCTCGAGTTGTCGCTTGTACATGTAGCGCTGCTGAAAAAGATCCCTGGCGTAGTCATACAACTGCATGTCCAGGTCGTTGAGCTCCTCGATCTGCTGCACTGTGTCGTTGTCCAGGTCCACGCCGGCGGCCCGCGTGCTGTTGTACTGCATGAAGGGCCGGATGAACTTGAGGTGGAAGGTCCGTTCGAACAAGTACTGCGTTTTGCGCTGGAACTCGGTCAAGCCGAAGAAGGCCATGTCTCGTAGGTTCTTCTTGGCCGACTCGAGTAGCACCTGCGCACGCTTCTTCTCCGGGATGAAGGACATGTTGTAGCAGCCCACCAGGCTGAGGTCGGCCAGCATGCGCACCTGTCGGTTATTTGCCAGGTTGTACGGACAGTCCATGAACTGCTGTAATGTGCAGCCCGACCAGTCGGTGCCCTCGTAGCAGGGGGGCAGCTCCTCCGGCGTGGGCGTTCGCCCATCGCACATGTGCAGGGAGGTTTTCCACGTGGCCCCGCGCTGGACGTGTCTCCACTCGCTTAGGTACCGAGACACGGGGTCCCGTAAAAGGGTAATGTAGTAGAACTTCCTGTTGGATGACAAGAAAATAGAAATGATTAGGATGCCTGAATTAAGACAAAGTATATATAGCTCCTTGGCAGTTTGTCCATTACGGGTGATGTCTGGTATTTATCATCTAGAGCAGCGGTGGCGAATTAAAACTCACCTGCCTGTAGCTTTCTAGTAACCCTTCAGACCTTGATTAGCTTGTTCAGGTGTGCTTGATTAGGGTTGAAGCAGAACTCTGCAGGGCTGCGGCTCTCCAGGACCAACGTTCGCCACCCCTGATCTAGAGACACTTGTGACAAAAGATCATCAAAAGGATTTGTCAAATGGTTTCTAGCACATTTGATATTTTTGGGTGTGGTTCACAGTGACTAACTGACCTATATCTTCTGAAAGGGAATTCCAAACTTTACACAACTTCATACACACAGATTGAGACAACAGGACATTCTGAAGATACATGCCAAATTTTGCCCATAGGGGGCGCTACAACTACAAAACCCTCATGATTGCTTTGCAAACATTTAATTGTGAAACATTTAAAAGTTGACATTTGATGTGCATTTTCTTTGATAGAAATGCTAACATATGCTAACATTATCAATCATACAAATGAACAATAATGTTCGCCAAAAGTCAATAAAAATTCAGCAGACAGTAAATTCATTTCTTAAAGTCAACATGAAATCAGTTTTTTTATTGAATTTTGTCGTGTTTATTATAAAAGATCTAACTGTGTACATTTTATCAAATCCATGTGACTTTCTGTAATCTTTGTACATTTCCCCTTCCCTGCTTTATATTTTTTTCTTGTTCAAGAAGCCATTTCATTTAGATAAACGTCACAATAGAGAAGAAAATATGATCACAATTTCCGTTTCATGCCAAATTAAAAGCCGGTGGTAATAAAAATAACTATCATGATGCTGACTGTCCAATTTTGTGAGAATTGGCCACAAGGTGGCAAAATGTTAAATGCATTTATGTTTTTGCTTTAAAATTCTGTCAGAAGCCTTATGGACAATTACTGCCAAAACTTGCTGTATGCAATGTTCCCATTATTTACTTGTTAAATATTTGTTAGATATCCACTAGTCAACTAATCATTTAGACAGTCCACCAACTAGTCGACTAGTTTTGCAAATTCCCACAAGGAAAATAACTTCTAACAGCTGGGACAGAATATTGCTGACACAACTTTGTCTTTAACATTTTCTGCACATGAATTGTTTTATGGGTTTTTATTGACTCATTAAAGTCAAGAAGTGTGTAAAACATTTTTTCTCATAAATTTGAACTCTAGTTACATTATTCATATCATAAATATCTGTATTGCAGTAAAGGACCAACGGCAGCCACATAGTAATCTTTTACTGGTAGGTAAGAATTATAATATCCTCGCCTCCAGCTTTAAAATAATTTCAGCGCATATGAACACAACCAGTCGTAAAGGGGAAGTGAACTGTAGAGCTCTTGATTCTGATATGCTTCAGTGAGACTTCATAATGCAGGTGAAAAGAGCATAACACGTCCCACAACACCTCTCTTCCATTCTGAACCTGCACTCCAACACCAAATTAGTGAATTCTTGGATGCGTCCCTCTTGTGCACTTGAGCGTACATGGCGCAGAATGAATCAGACATTAGTGTAGTGAACGGCAGAGACTTAATTATTTTAACAGCTCTGCTGGAGATGCATGAATTTATTCATGTGTGAAAGACAGGACTGGAGATGGCAACAAGTCAACCACAAGCTCGCACATTACATACAGCACTGACCATGAGGGTAAATAAACCGAAAATTCAACAAATTCCCTCTCTTCATCAGTATATTCAATTTGTTTTCAAGTAAAAACGTCTTTTAAAAAAACACTTAAAATAACATTGCCATAAGATATTAAAGTAATATTGTGTTCAATTCAAGCTAAGGTATGAGTATTATGCACAGTGATGACCCTGAGGGTAAAAAACACAGGCAAAAATTCTCTTTCAAACACAAATCCTTATTTTTAATCAGTATCCTCAAATTGTTTTCTGTGCAAAACATCTAAACATCCTTGAAGTAGATACTGAAATAATATTCTGAGTTAAATTACATTTACAGCTTTGATCCTTAGGTTTCATGTAGAGACCAAAAGCCTTTATCGGTTCAGTTTCATACACCCTAGGTTAAAATCAAAAGTCTCACTACATTAATTACTTGATTTATTATTTTTCTATCAGTTTTTTTCCCCAGCATAAAATCTTCACATGTATAAACACTCCATCACTACTGTCTGGCACATGTTGGCCAATAATACTGTTTTTTAGAAATAGTAATAGTATTTTTTTTAAATGTCATATTGGTCTGATTAAGCACATACTTTAATTCATTAAAGTGATTTGATGGCTAATATTTTGATAATTAATACATTTTAAATAATAATTAATTATAATTTATATATATATATAAATTATATATATATATATATTTTTTTTTTTATTATTATTGTTTTGCTAGACATCAAAATAATATTTTATAATAACAAATGAGCGGGAACATCAGCGTTTAACCAGAATTTCCAGCGTGTGCCAGCCTAGAAATATACATAATCTAGTGAATTCTCCTGATCTGAGAGCAGAGCAGTTGCTCTTTCCTCCTCGTTCTTTGTTCTGTTTAATGTATTCCCTCCTGTTGGTTTACACGCTCAGCGCCACCCTATCCGATGACCTTTTTCCTCTGTTTTCAATCATGGTGTGTCTAAAGCCACACTCCTCTGGGGCATTGCTGGGTCGTGAGCAGCTTACTAACATGCAGTTCACGTCATTGCCACTCAGTGGTGATATACACACAGAATTCTCAGGGATCTTTCTAAGATGTACTTGCATATCCTACCATTAAACACAAATTTAGAGCCTCAGTATCAGTCACATTTAACTACACTACACTCAAGCAGAGTTTCTTTAAGGGAAACTAAACAGTTAGTCTGTTGTAGGAACTACATGTGATAAATAGTAGAGAGACAGGTAATATATGTAATGTATATAAATATAATATACATATATTTTGAAACTAAACAGCTAGACTCTGAAACTGAGTAGCAAGGCAAGTAGAGCAAGAAAAGAGGGGAAAGGGTAATAATAATAGGTCGGGGTCATTGTCATTGTCCTAGTAGTGCAACAGGGAGAAATGACAGAAAATTGCTGGCACAAGCATATCACGACAAAACTAAACAAGACTTTTCCTGTAGCGTGGTCCTTCCTGCATATCCATGGACAAACAGCACGAGCGGAGGGCAAAGTCAGGGTCACACCACCATAAACACATACTGCAGGCAAGCTAAGGACCTACAATATATACTCTTTTTATATTTCTATATTACATTTATAATATTTAGGGACTGGCTACAAATTGCACATCATCACTGCCAACACAACTGAAGAGACAAAAAATAGTGGTGCCTCATTTGGGAGGCTAATTCAATAAACGTGACAGATTTAATGCAGCTATGATTTGCTCAGCTATAAGAAGAATGTAGGAGCGCAGTAATTATTTCAATCATAAAACCATTTTCCTAAACAGTCACTATGGTACTGTATTAGATTGTGTGTATTTTTGTGTGCAGGCGGATGCAGGCGCTATCCATTAATATCAGCACCAGTTCTCTGCTGTATCGTAAATCTGACTGTGAGGGAATCTGGGGAAATCTGAGTCTCTCTGCAAAGCGTCATTTGAAATTTATGAGCAATTTCCTCAGTCACAAAAACAAACACCTGGAGGGAAGCAGTGCGGCAGAGTCACAACTCACCACAAAACACCCTCGCTCTACATCACTCAACCTCTTACTGCTTCACTTCATCATTACAGTGCGCAAATCATGTTAAAGACAATTACCAGAACAGGTACAGTCGAGTAAAAAGGGAATCAAAATGCCACATAAAGGTCAAAACTGTGGTTTCTAGATGGTTCCTTATTGGCCCAAATCAAAAAAGCCATATTCCAAGTCCCTAAATATGGTTTGGATTCAGTGTAAATCGATGGGATTATTACATTTGTTTTATTGTCCATCACAGTGCGAAAAAAAAAAAAATTTCAAAGTTTTACAAGAAAATGCTAGTTCAGTCTATCTACTTCAAAAGTTCATGTTTAATTAAATGTGCTACTTACGAAAGTCCTAAGAGGCTATGGATTATTAATATTTTTCTTTGTTGTTTTCTCGTGATCAAGACTTAATTATCTCGTGATCTCGACATAAGTTGTTTTCTCGTGATCACGACATAACTAAAGTTGTTTTCTCGTGATCACGACTTAATTTTCTTGTGATCTCGACATAACTAAAGTTGTTTTCTTGTGATCCCGACTTAATTTTCGCGTGATTTCGACATAACTAAAGTTGTTTTCTCGTTATCACGACATAACAAAAGTTGTTTTGTCGTTATCACGACTTAATTTTCTCGTGATCTCGACATAACAAGTTGTTTTCTTGTGATCACGACTTAATTTTCTCATGATCTCGACATAACTAAAGTTGTTTTCTTGTGATCACGACTTAATTTTCTCGTGATCTCGACATAACTAAAGTTGTTTTCTTGTGATCCCGACTTAATTTTCGCGTGATTTCGACATAACTAAAGTTGTTTTCTCGTTATCACGACATAACGAAAGTTGTTTTGTCGTTATCACGACTTAATTTTCTCGTGATCTCGACATAACGAAAGTTGCTTTCTTGTTATCACGACTTAATTTTCTCGTGATCTCGACATAACGAAAGTTGCTTTCTTGTTATCACGACTTAATTTTCTCGTGATCTCGACATAACGAAAGTTGCTTTCTTGTTATCACGACTTAATTTTCTTGTGATCTCGACATAACGAAAGTTGTTTTGTCATTATCACGACTTAATTTTCTCGTGATCTCGACATGACATAAAAGTTGTTCTCTAAGTTACACAACTGCGCCAACAGGTGGCAGTACAGAACTGAATATAACTGATGAGATGTTGTATACTGTATGTCCACTTTACTGTACGCGTTTGGGACAGA